AGAGCTGGGAGTGGTTGCTATGCCCTGCTGCTGCTTGCCCAGCCAAGGGGGTCAGGGCACTGCAGGCACGGCTCACTCTGGAAGGGGGCAAGCGGCAGCAGGGCATTGCCCTCACTGCCAGCACTGCCGTGCCTGCATCCTGCACCCCCCCACTCCAGCTGGGCAGCTTGTCCCAGCCCCAGTCTCTCTCTCCCCCATACCCCTGCTTGCCTCCCCACTCCATCCACCACAACAGACTTACCAGCTGAAGGCAGCTGTGTCCAGCGTAGTGAGGAGTGCTGCCTGTTTAGTTTATGGCCGAATCTCCGAAGTGGCGCTAAATCTTTGGATCTGATTCAGCTGAATTGAATCAGAATGGTGATATGAATATCTTAATCAAATCACTGCCCCTTCAAATCAGCCAAATCTGAATCTAAAGCAAGTGCTTGCCACTTCGCACAGGCCTAATGTTTACAGTCGTGCAATCAGCTGTCCAAGTAGCTGAGCAGAAGCTAACTTAAGGCACCAGGGCTGCTTGCAGATGTTAAAAAGAAAAAACAAAAAAAAACAGCACTTTACATTAAACTCAGCACACTCTCCCACCGAGCCCAGCACATGCCTAGAAGAGGCATCACATTACTTGGACCTGGCTCACCCAACTTCTGTATAGATAAAAGCACCAAAAAAGCCACACTAAATAGTAGAAATTAAGATTTCTGCACCCTACATACACTCTACAATGGCAAACAAGGCCAGGCAGAGGTCAAACATAACCCCACTGGACCCTGTTGTTCAAAAGAATCCAATCTTGTTTGCATGGGATGTATGCCCTCAAGTGGAATCTGGAGCTATGCGTTTTGAAGAACTACAACCGCTATAGGGTTAGAAACTATTCTAAAAAAGAGAGCAGGCTTTGTAATAAGCTAAATGTGTCTTCTGTCATATTCTAGTTCTACTTGTTTTGTGTTTCTAACTTCAGAAATCTACTAGTTCTGCAGTTGTCCTCCCTTCCACTTCCTTATTTAGGGGACTGACTGGGTACTTAAATTCCTAACATTTGAAAACTTGACAGGTTACCTGCATACATCTTAGAGAAGCAAAAAAGGGCCAAAAATATCTTTCCCCTCCTCTTTCTTTGTCATCTTTAAGAATAAATACAGTCTATTTTAACTGAAATGGTTTAAACTTTTAAACTGTTGAAAAAATAGTTGGGTTTTTTTTTTTTTTTACTTTGTATTAAACTGTGGATATTTCACATGTTTGTTCAGCATGAATGTCTGGATAGTGGACTGTTTTGATTTAAGGTCTGTTCACAGCTGGTCTGCTTAGCTTAAAAATATTATAGGAAATAAATTATACACTGTAGCATATTTTGATTTCATATATGAAAATGTATGACCAGATCGCTCTACATTCTGTTAATAGATATCAGATAAAAACTTAACTATTATTTTTGTTTTGTTGCAGGGATTTCTCCAAAGTTAATATCCTGGTACCTGGTGCTGGGCTAGGTAGATTGGCCTGGGAAATAGCTATGCTCGGTTATGCTTGCCAAGGAAATGAATGGAGTCTCTTTATGCTCTTTTCTTCTAACTTTGTACTCAACAGGTACTTAGCTTATATTTTACTTGCTGGTTGCAACGTATAGGTTCTAAGGAAGCAAAGTTAGTAACAAACAAATACTTAACTCATTGGTATACATTCTAAAATTCTAATCTAGGTAATCGGATACAAATGTGTGTTGCTTCCCTAATAAATTCCAAAGGAGAGGAAAATAGGAAATTAAAACAAGTAATAGGGCATCATTTTTTTTCTGCCCCCCAAGCAATAGCGTTAGCCATTTGCTATCCCTGTTAGTTTCAGTGAGGTAGGCATCCTGTAAAATTTACAGTCTGTTTAGGGAAGACTTGGTTTGTTCCAAGTTAAGCAGCAATGAACCATACTCTAAATTATAGCAGTCACATAAGCCATACTATAGAACCATGGAATCTTAAAAAATTAGGGTAGGAAATGACCTCATAAGGTCATCTAGTCCAAACCCCTGCTCAAAGCAGGACCATCCCCAACTAGATCATTCTAGCCAGGGCTTTGTCAAGCCAGGCCTTAAAAACCTCCAAGGATAGAGATTCCACCACCTCTCTAGGTAACCCATTCCAGTGCTTCACTGTAGTACTTCAAGTTTCTTTATTTTCCTGGAGGCATGCACAAGTAGATGCAATTAACAGTTAGATTATGAAATTACTCTTCATATCTTTAAATGGCTTTTTATTATGCTACTTTGTATAATGGTGATGTTGGGATATTCAGGTTAATGTTTGAAATGTACTTCATGATTTTATTGCCCTCTTTTATAGTGAGCTTGAAGACTGTATATTTGCATGTCTATGATAAGCAGTGGGGCCTTTTATATGGAAAAAAATGGGTCGTGGAGGAAAAACTATACCTAAAGTTTTAGAAAAAAGTCATGGAGATTGTAGTAGCAAGAACAGCTTTGTGGTTAAGGCACAAAAAGGGCATCATTAGGTTTGCACTCTGGATTTCCTGTCTGATACTGAGCTGGTTACTTAATGGACTTCTTGCTCACAGAGAGATTGAAAAAAGATACTGTATTTACTTGAATATAAGATCATGTTTTTCCCCCTAGTGGGCACAGGAGAGAAAAGCCCCTTGTCTTATTATTGCATACAAGGAGATCTCACTAAATACGTTGTCTATTACTGTACTCGGTATTGGAAAGCAAGTATGAAGTTGATGAAATGCAGCCAACACTGAGCATGACTATAAAACACAATAGGTTAATGCAGCCCATCTGAATAAGACATGTGGTTGTGCCCATTGTGCTCAATCCCCTTCTCTGCTGACTTTCAAGTCATGGTGAGCCACTACATTGCATACATTTTAACTTCCTCTTCACTCTCACAACTGAGCTGCACCTTTCTTTCCCATTTCTAATGACTCCCATTTCTTGACAAGCCTTTAAATGCCTAGCAAGCATCACGAAATGAGGCCCCGAAAAGTTCCCCCAGAACCCCTCTGTTGCCCCCCCCCCCCACAGCCTTGCCCTCTGAAGTGAAGCTAGACCCTGCACCTCATGTGCATGTAAATTTTTGGATGATTCCAGGACTTGTGGCAATAACAGCCAGTTCCAATCATGAGTGGGCACTAATTAGCACAGGGATCCTTTGTCAGGGCTATCTAGAATATAAACACATACTAGGGATGCACTGATAGAGACTTTTAGGTACCAGTAGCCAATACAAATAGCCGATTTT